CAGACACACAGAAGAAAAAAGGCCTCTTTCTTCTCACATCTTTCGGTCTGGTTTCTCACGTCTTGCAATGTTCAAAGACACCACTGGCAGAAGAAAGCTCTCCTGTGGTGCTGCAGCAGGGAATCTGGAAACTAATCGCACATAGTAACACATTCACAGATTCTACTGACAGCCCTACTGTACTGCTGTATGAATATTTTAAAGAAGATAAAGTTGAATTTCAGGTCAGGAGCTGTGTAAAAGTAGAGTTGACTGAACGTTTTCTCATTAATATTTGCATTGTTTTAGTTAATTTTCACCACATTCAGACTTGAGCAAAAAAAAAGTACATATAACACTTTCTTTAGTTAAGGCATTTTTTCTATGTTTTGCCCACCATACATGAACTTTTACCACCAAAGTGGAGAATTATAAACATGACTTGTTGTGTTCCTTTTAACTAGGTCGCTGCGCCCAGAAAGACAGTCCAAGTGAATGGCAGACTGGGAACAATCCAGACAACCTCCTCAACACTCCCTCAGCCATAGGAGGGGACGCCCACACCACCGTAACAAAGGACATATTAACGCTATTAATATATCGTTTCAGGTCGTTATTGTTTTGCCATTGTGCTTTTGCAAATTACTTTTGGAAAACTTGAGTCACATTTTGAGTGGATGCTTTTTGAAAGTTGTGGGGAACCTTATCAAAGGCGTGACACAAATTCCAATATAAAAAATAAGAAAGAAAGAATGGTTTTTACATGTCATCTAGATATGATCGTTTGTTCATAAAGGGTTTCGAACCTCTGACAACCAACCAGGGCCTTATGCTTAAAAGATTTTGTATGAAAGGAGAATATTTAAATACTACTTCTATGTATTTATGTTGCGAAAGTTGTTCTTAGTAGCCAAACCAATACGATCTCTCTGATAATTGTGTCACAGGTGAAATGATTGCAGTTAATTCCATGTATAATATCAGTTATATCAGTTAGCGTTTAACAATAGCCTGCTGGAGAGAGTTCATGTCCATCTTTACAACATTTCGCAGTTCCTAAACATATCTTGCCATCTGTACTTGAATTCAGTATTCTTAACTGGAATGTTGTACAAAGTGTGTGCCAATGAAAGCAGATTTAAATGGTTTATGATTTTATTTTATTTTTTCCTTGATTTTTTTCCCTCAGTTAAGTTATGGATGCCTTAAACTGTTGCTCACTCAGTGTTATGTATATGATGTTTGCTTTAAATATTCTATATAGGGTGCAATAAGTTGAATCTACTGATTTTCCAGATTTCAACTACTTATTATTTGTCTAACAAATTACAAAAACTGAAAACTTAAGTGCATTTTCAAAAATAATGGATATATCCATTGATGTTTGATTTTTTTTGTTTAAAAGTGTATTTTAACCAGATCTGGTCCATACAGTATGCCAACTTCTGCATTTCTTGGCTCTGAGAAAGAAAAAGATGGTGATGACTGATTTGTGCCTTTTATCTAAATATACTTCTAATTTAGCTTCTAATCATCATTTTGTGCTGCTGTTTAAGATCTATAAAGACATTGTAATGCGTGAGTGGCCTGCAGAAACATATACTTGTACAGTAGCAATACAACTGACCGTGCCTTTGATGTTAGATATATTTGAGAAATTAAGATTAACCTTTTATTTCCTTAAAATGTCAACATTTTTGAAGCACTGTTATGGAAAGATATCAATGGGCAAAGAAACCAACAAGTTACTATGGCGATTGGTCGTAGGAAAGCTGTAGGAAGGCAGTAGTTTAGGTTGCCTTAATTTAGGCACATGGTGTTGCATTCCATTGCGCTCCATTATAAGTTTACAGTGTGGAGTAGCTATGATGGCTATGAGAAACCTAGAGCATTCATATTCAGGTATAAATGCTTGCTGCTGTGGACTGTGAGAAATCTGAGTAAAGGGAGTCCTAGTTTTATAGAGATTATTTTTAATTCATGCCCACCTGTTTTTCCCTGAGAGGGAAAACCTTGAGATATATTTTCTTTTTTCACTAACTAGAAGGGATTATTTCATTCACGCAATAGCCTACAGCACATTGTAGCATTGTATATTTTGTACACGAGAATCACAGTAAAATATTTGATACAAATCCTCAAGAGAGAGCTATTTCACTGATAGTGTGAACATTTTATAAGCTATTGCTTTTTAAGTTTCAAGTGCACATTGTTTTTTGGGGATGGTTATTTTTGTCTGCCCTGCTTTTTGATTCAATAAATAATTTTGCAATCAACTTCAAAGTGACTTGCACCTGATATTCCTGTATTTTATCTTTCTACAATAAAAATGTGCCTGAGCCTTTTGCTACTATTCCAGTCAGCCACTCATGACCCTGACTCATCACTATGTGGTCACATAAAATGGCTTTCGCAGAACTTCAACCTAACCTCTATTCCTGATTCCTGAAACACTAGTCATTGTGCCTTTCTTCCTTCCCTTAGAATGATACCAATATCCACATTAGCTGTGCAATCACACGTAAACACAGTGTACACATATTGGTGGGGCAATTTCAAGTCTTTAATTATAAACAAATGCTCTTTGAATAAATATCCCATTTTCGTGGCAAAGATGTAACCAGGTAAAATGTAAATGGTGGGATTTGTACATACCAATGAAGGGCGACTGGTCATTTACTGGGTACTGTCGTAGCAGTGGAATATGTCTGGGAGTTTGTAAGAGTGATCTTGGATGTAAATACCTGCAAAGGACCACAGGCTCTTCTTTTGTGGGTACAAATTCTGCAGTTGATCTACTTTACAAATCGTGTGGTTTCTTGTCTCCCTGTGGGTGTGAGTGATATTTTTGTCATGAGTCTGTACGTGTGTTGAAACATACGGTTCCAAAACATTTTAAGCTACCGACAATGTAAACAACCTCTAATTCAAGAATTACCAGGAAATCACACCACATAAGACAACAGCAGATATACAATTTAGGTTTGGCTTTGGTTACGCCTTTAGACATGTTGGTAAGTTTGTTGCCATAACAGTTTTACATGTAGGGCTTAAGGCAATCCACTTTAGTGAAAGCCTTTCCCTCACTGCCTTGACTTCTATTACTCAGCTTTGTTAAAGTTGACTTATGAGTGATGGAGACAGTGAGATCGATCATCAGCAGGGGTTTGTTTTTACTTTGTTTTCCGATGTTAAGTAGTCTACTATATATCTGATCAATCAATTTGAACAAAAGGCCTATGTGTGATGCTGAATGTCTGATGAGGGGAAATCAACATAATGTGTGTTTAGTTTATGTCTCAGTGCAGTCCCGCAGGAAGAATGCTTTGTTGCATGGTGGCACACTGAATATGAGTGATGTGATAATGTATGTTTGTATGTCTGTGATGCAATGACTGCACAATGTGTGCTCTTTGAGTGCATGTTAACACTGATGGGACACAGTGTGAGCCCCTTGTTATTCTTAAACCAGATGCATACACACAGGACTGATGACCTTTTGCACTTCAGATTCCCATGGTGTGTTCACATAATTTAAGCTTACCCAAGTCTGAAATATCACATGAAATATGGAAAAAAAGTCAATGCTAGTTCTCCATGTTTTTATTTCTGCCTGAGACTGAGCTTTATCTGACTCGGCTGGGCTTCAATTCAAGCTGGTGCATTTCACTCCTCCTACATGTTTTATGTTTCTCCAGTTTAAATTACAATAACCCACGAGGTGAATGTACACCTGTTGCTGTCAGTCATATACACATCCAAATGTCTTATGCAATATCCTCACAAGGTTCATAAGTACAACAGTGCTCCAAGGTTACTCTGGTGCAATGAGATTTGACCCCCAGTTGTGCAATATGCATACTTCACACTCACAGTGATTTTATTTGTGATTGTGTACGTCAGAGCAGGGCATTATTAACATGTGACTACTTTGGTTTACCATTGATGTCCTTAAAGTATCTTATGGTAATAATCTTAACCACTGAGCTGCCATATACAATACAGTAACCTAAGCCCTTATTAAGCCAGTTAACAAATACTATTACCCTGTTTTTATGAAAGGCTGAAGCTGAATTCAAGTTTGTTGAATTTTTCTTAACATGGTCCTCAGTAAACAACAGTGTGCATAACACTACCATCTTACCTAGATATTCCTCAAAGCCCCCCTATTTAACCTTATTTAGACCTGGGCCGACCAAAGTCAAGCCATTAATGTTGCTTATGTTTCTTGTATGACTCAACATTAATGTTCAATGGGTTTAATTTCTTACATAAAAGTGTTTTTAAAATAACCTGTTGCCTAAAACTGTAAAGTATAAGAAACTGAAGTATGAATTGAACCAATGTTTTATGCTAATTGTGTTAGGGCTGTTAAAGTATTCTTAGCATATTTTAAAGGGTGTTTATCTTCAAAGCGAATGAAAACTGCGAGGTAAATTAGTAGGCCTATAATCATTGTCACCAATTCTATCAATATCATTTCTAAATACCAGTAAGATTTAGAGGTTGTATTATATTTTCTATGAACATGAAGTTAAGCAACAAATTGATTTAGGAGAACGGTAAGAGAAGAACAATTTGCTATTGAGCAACTGCTTGTCTTCCTTAAAAAATATTTGGTATCGGTTTTATATGGGGTAAGACAACTTGAATATATAACAACTTGGTCAAATATATATTCTTATAGAGTAGGCAACGCCCTCTTTAATTCGCTTTATTTCACTTTAAAGGTACAGATAGGCTACTATGAACAGCACACACCGAACTGAGCTCTTGAAAAAACAGTAGAATCCTCTGAACACGCCCTTATTCCCATGAGACTTGAACGCCGCATTAATCACCTCACTTGTGGGCGTGGTCTGTTCTAAGGGGGAGGAGTTGTTTGAGAGCTTGTGTGTGCGTGTTTTTGTGCGCGTATGCATGCACGTGTGTGTGTGTGTGTGTGTGTGTGTGTGTGTGTGTGTGTGTGGTGTGTGTGTGTGTGTGTGTGTGTGTGTGTGTGTGTGTGTGTGTGTGTGTGTGTGTGTGTGTGTGTGTGTGTGTGTGTTGTGTGTGTGTGTGTGTGTGTGTGTGCTCCCCGCCCGACTGTATGAGCTGCCTACAGTCTTCTTTGCGGCCACTGTTTTCGCCTCCTCCTCCACCTTCTCCACTTCCTCCAGCCTCTGTCTATCTGTCCAGTCCGGGAATGTTGACCACCGTGGCCTGATCAAACGCCGACTGCCACTCCGTGTTCGTCTCTGAGGGTCGTAGCCTGCCTCTGGTTCTAAGGTGAGTGCATGTTACCGGATGAATACGCTGTTCCCATGCCTCTTGTGGGCATAAAAAGTCCGCGGGGAGTTGGGAGTTAGCGCGTGTAATAAAAGTTGAATATGCTGTTGTGATTATGTTTTGCGGCTCGGAACACATGTGCGCACTGCGCGTTAACCGCCTCGCGGGACCGGTCCGTGCCCTTCTCTCTGACAACGTAGCGGCCAGTTATTGAACTTTGGAAACAAGTTTATTCATCGGGTCAGGCTGTTGCATTCAGCAATATTCACTCTACTCTATATTTTCTAGTGGGACAATTCCACCGTGCACTGTTCCGGGGTTAGTGTTTCTGAGTCTCGTGCACCTTGCTGCACCTTTCTCAACCGTTACTGTGATTCGAGCGTCTCATGGCATGGGCAACACTATTTTGATCCCTGCCTTGTTTACGATTGCGTAACAGCAGTTACCCTACAGTGGCCCATAGCCTACTTTCTAATAATAATAATAATACATTTTATTTCAAAGCGCTTTTCCAGGTGCTCAAAGACGCGTTACAGTGGTTTGATAAAACATGATAAAATGTACCTCGTTGGACTCCAGTTCCCCCGCGTTGACCCCCCCCCCCCCTCTTCACAGACTCAATTATGTGAGAGTTTCGCCAGTCTCGTCTTATCGCCTTATCCTTTTGGCAGCATTTGCTTTGGGGGCGGGGAGGGGGAGAAAGAGGCGTTTTCCCAGGGTTACTCATGTAGCCCTACTGCAGTGGTTTCCAAAGTGGGCTCCAGGGTCCCACAGGGGGTTGTTGGGTGGGTTCCAGGGGATCCTGATAAAGTGAGGAACTGAGAGGTTTTCAGTTTTTGGAGCGAGCACAGCTTAATGCAATAAGTAGATGTTTGTAATTACTGAACTGACTATAACAAGTGTTATCAGTGCACTTGTTAAGCAGCTCTGGAGTACTGAATGAATATAAGTTCAAGAGCGCTCCCAGAGGGAGTGTGTTGGGAAGTCTTATCAAACTGAAGTGGGTTTGATGTGAAAATATTTAGGTATCTCTTGCATACTTATCTCCCTTCAAGCTGTCACTCAGACAAATACTGTAAATGCATTCTGTAAGTGCACCACTAGTTTATTGTTAGATTGTTTTAAATGATAACTGGAGGTAGGAGGCCTTTTATTGTGGCCAGCCTAAGGCACACCTGTGCAATAATCATGCTGTCTAATCAGCATCTTGATATGCCACACCTGTGAGGTGGGATGGATTATCTCGGCAAAGGAGAAGTGCTCACTATCACAGATTTTTTTCAGATTTGTGAACAATATTTGAGAGAAATGGTTATTTTGTGTATATAGAAAATGTTTTAGATCTTTGAGTTCATCTCATGAAAAATGGGAGCAAAAACAAAAGTGTTGCATTTATATTTTTATAAAAGTCTCGACAAAGCAACCCTTCATAGATCTAAGATTTAATCCGTCCTGTCTTTTAGGAATTCTTCCAAATCAATTTCTTTATTGGCTGCATGCAGCTTCTGCAGAAAGTTGCATAACCAACCGGATTTATGATTCTGGGAACTATCGATGTTGGCCTGTAGGTTTTGAATGCAGATCAGGTTTCTCATTGAAAATGTGGAGTTGCGGATGAAGGAAGAACATAGGGACTGATATACATGCTAAGACTTTGTATGTAATGCATCCCAAATCTGTCCTGCCAGAGTAAACTTTCTTGGGAAAAACTAGTTGAAATGCTGAGATAACATTATCTCTTTAATGGTCAAAGAGTGTCTGGTGGTTTTGAGTCCATGTAGGCATTACATACATACTGCCTTAATTACTATTTGGTTAATTAAAACTCTGTATACCTTAAAGGTCCCATGACATGCTTTTCTGGTTATTACCCATCCCCTTGTGTGTTATGTAGCTTTTTCTGCATGTAAACGGTCTGCAGAGTCAAAAACCCTCAAAGTACACCCTGTAGCGAGTAAAACTCTAACACAGAAAATACCTGTCTATGCTGTCCAGAACGCCTCGTTGGAGATTTTTCATTTTTCATTTTTTGCTTCCTGGGTATGGTGGCGTAACCATACCCAAATGGACCAATCCGCGGAGCCGTTATGTTACGTTCCTCACACACACACACTCAATCTTTTCTCAGCTGCAGCTCCGCGGATTTCTCAGCCTGGGACGCGGCGAGGCTGTGTGTCTGTGTGTGAGCACGGGCATTTTTTTATGCTTCTAGGGGTCAGGCCGTGTCAGGAACCAAAGTGTTTTATCTTCTACACCCTGGGGCAGAGGTCCGCACAGGTCTGTTTCTTCTATCTCATAGTGCTCCTACAGGATTTCCTACGATTATGGCCGCAGCAACCAGGAAGCCACACCAGTAAGCCAGCTCACACTGTCCGCTCCTCGCAGCAGCGAGCCTCGCAACGTCCCGCCAACACGGCACCCAGACCCCATGCAGCATTCTCATCTGTTTGTCATTACTGGTGTCATTTTCTGGTTGCTAACGCCATTGTAACACATAATCAGTGATGTTCCGCTGTACCGGTGGTGGACTCATCAGAGCACACTGGGCTCACAGGGAGGGGGGGGCAGGAGCTCCACCAAGCCATTTAGGACAGAGAGTGAATACACATACTATACAGAGATGCTGTATGGGAAACCAATTTGAGTTTGGAAAATTGCACAAAGTAAATCTATTCTAGTAGACCTCAACAATGGAATTATGATCAGTAGAAATGGCCATGTCATGGGACCTTTAATGTAACCTCATCAAAACTTTTCAGAGTAAAGACAAGCAAAGCTCAGTCAGCAACCTTGAGTCACTAAAGCCTAACACACAATCTGACCAACCGCTGATATTCCACTCAACCTGGCAACCTGCACTGGAACATGTAGATAGATACACAAACTGCACGGCCCTCTGAATGCAGCACACAGTCTAAAACATGTTAGTTGTCTTTTCAAGCATGTCTTTTTTGACACTCTCCCATTCATAGCCAAAGAAGATTTCTCTTTTTCTTTACCCCTGGCCATTATTTCCTGCCTTCTTTCATTTAATTATGTTGTGGTCACATCTCTGTGCACATGGCAACCGCTCTTGCTGCGGTTTCTTTCACCCCCTCAGCACCAGTCCTGCTATTTCAAGTCTATGCTCAGTAAGCACAGGCATGACGGGGCATGAACTCTGCGAGACTACAGGCTGCCAAAGGCTGTTGACTGCACATATTGCACATAATTATACTTACAATAAGCTATACTCAACTTGCTCTATACAGACCTGTGTCTTTCGTATTTTGAGAAACTCTTAAGAATCTAAAATGCATAATCCATTTGTTGTTTGATTTGAATTACTTTGTGCTTGGCAGTGATACCCACAGAAATGTGTTGCGTAACCATAACCAAAAACCCGAGCTTCGCTTGAAATACAAGTCCTTTTATTGATATACAAGTGCAGATAAGATTGTTTGCCCAGCTTTCCCTTGAGTGTATGCTTATAGTTGCAGCTGCCATCCATGAGGAAAAGGGGCAGTGGTATCCTATTAGCTGGTATTGGTGGTATAAGAGCTTGTGGTCGTGCTCCAGGCAGCATTCCATTGGGTCTTGCGTCAACCAGCAGTCATTCAGCACTGGTTCGTCTAGGCTTATGCACTGTTAATACCCCCTCCCTAATGTCATGACACAATCAACCCAAGCCTGCTGGGGGGACCTCAGCACAGTTCATGTCTGTCGACTCTTTCTGCCTGAGTCCTTAAGACTCATGTGTCCATATTGACATTAGAGCCCAATTACTGTTTTATGTCCTTGGTTTCTCCATTATAACCGCTGAGTAAACGTGTTTTGCTTTGAAAGGAGTCATTTCTAAGAATCTAAAGCTTTGCCAGATGAAACATTTTGTGGTATTATTCTTCCCCCTCCTCCTCCATACTGTAAATATGGACCTATACAGACCCAATTCTCACCGCTTTCCACTTGTGACCTAAGGTGATGCAATGCTTGCTTGTTTAACCACTGAAGTGTACAGTGGGTTGGGTTTCTCACTGTCTGTTGTTGGACCAAATGTGGCTGAAACACCAGCCTGTGTGAGAGGCAGGAATGTTGCCTCCATTCTGTAAGTAACAGAACACCTGAGGGAGCACATGCTCGTGTGGGTGCAGGTAATGTGGTGTGGTGGACACACAGTGATGTGCCAGACCAAATGATCTCTTAAGCACATATGTACACACTTTTTTCCCCGATTCCTATTGTACCATATACTGCAATGCAAAATCAAAACAAACCATGGTTAGTTGGCTTTGCTAGATCTGATACCGTATGATTAAAAACATAGGGGGCTTTTCCCCCCTAGAAAAATTCCCACTTCAGGAACACAGCCATTTATTTTCTTGAGTCGTAGCACTGTCCTAAACCTCATTCTGATTCCCTCTTACAATCTCACTTAATCACACACCATGTATGCACCTCTGGTTTTCTGGTATTATACTCAGACTTAGAAGCAATAAGGGGTTAAGTATGGTGAACTTTGGTGCTTAGGAATAGGACTTTCATTCAGTCCTTCTAAATATGTTTTTTTTGATCAGCCAGCCAAGTTTGTTAGCATTCCTAAGAGTAAGTACGTAAAATAAATCCTGGTCCTCTGTACCAAGTGGTCACATAGAACTTCTGATACTAATTAAATGGTTATCTACAAGGTCACTTTTATTTGGGTTTGACACTTCCTCTTGTTTTATATGTTAATGATGCAATACCACAACACAGTGTTATGGTGCTTAAAATTAGGTCTTAAGGCCCAGGTGACCAGTGTTGGGCAAACCACTAAAGTAAGGAGGGAAAATGCATTTATTCATCTGCATTCTTAGAAAAAGTTACAGTTTTTTAATGACTAATATGGACTATTGTGACCTGTTTGTATGGAGAGTTATTTGCAGAACATATGGCTAGTTAGCCTTTGGCTGTATCCTTTGCGATGTGTTCAAGTGCTACTTTTTGGGCAAGATGTAGGGCGACCCGCCATTTTGCTGTGTGTA